TGAGCTTGCCCCGCCGGCCCCTCTAAACCCAGCAAGCCCCCCGAAAGGCAGCTCCGTCGACGAGCGGCTGTGCCACTCCTGGAGCGCATGAAGGAAATTCCAGGAGGGTCTGATTCCTGGAGTGAAGGAGCCAAAAGATTAGTTGCGGCTTAAGCGAAAGCTGCTCCGGAGCTCAGGCAAAGCCCGGGCTGCTGCGACGAAGCGGGGCAGGACCTGTCGAAGGGCAGCGAGCTGCTCAGGAGGCTGGACACCACCACACTCTTGTGCTGGGAGGCAAGGACGTAAACCGTCTGCTGGGCTGCCTTGCGGATGTGCTCCTCGTCCACCTCCTCCAGTTTGCTGTGGATGATGCTCATGATGTCGGGCACCTGAGGGAAGAGGAGATGGGTGAGGGCCAGGAGATATCAAGTACCTGGGGGCATCGTCGGACAAGCCCCCACAGCCCAGGCACACGTGTGGACTTCAGGAGATCACAGAATCAGAGAGTCATTAAGGCTGGAAAAGTCCTCCAAGATCATCCAGTCCAACCACCAACCCAACACCACCAGGACCACTCAACCACATCCCAGAGTGCCACATCTACATCGTTTTTGAACACCTCCAGGGACGGGGACTCCATCCCTGCCCTGGGCAGCCTGTGCCAGTGCCTCACCACTCTTCGAGTGAAGAAATTCTTCCTCACACCCAACCTGAACCTGCCCTGGAGCAACCTGAGGCCGTTTCCTCTCATCCCATCGCTTGTTCCTTGACCAGACCGACCCCCCCCGTCCGCCCAGGGAGCTGCAGAGAGCGATGGGGCCTCCCCCCAGCCTCCTCTGCTCCAGCTGAACAGCCCCAGCTCCCTCAGCAGCTCCTCATAAGGTTTGTTCTCTAGATCCCTCTAGAGGACACGAGTTGGGCAGTTCCTCCAGTTTCCCTGCTTGCTGGGTGCACGCAGAACCCCCAGATCTCTCTGGAAGTCGAGGATCCTTCCCCACCCCATCACCTAGGAGGCTGGCGAGTATTCTTAGGGTGGAAAAAGGACCCAGCGAGGCCACCCTCCACCCTGAGCCCCCGTCTCCTGGCAAGGCTAAGTCCCAGCCTCGACCTGGGTGCAGCTCAGCGAGCGAGTTCCTAAGAGGAACCAGAGCTGAACGCGAGGAGACACCTCGGCACTCGCTACAAGCTGTAAAACGCACGTTAAGACGAATAGGAAGTTCATGTGCAGAGCAGGCCTGGCAGCAAATTCCCCCAGATTAAGAGCAGAGCAGGCGAACGCCGCGTCCCCAGCTGCGCTCGGGGCTGCCCCACGGCCTCCGGGGGCTTAGCATCAGTTCAGGTTTCAGGATCTGGGCTGCACTGGGTCTGACCAAAAGGTGAGTCATGTAAGCCGGAGCGATCCCGCATAGGATAGAGGCTAATAGGTAACGAGAGGGACTTTAGCAGAAGCTCTAGTGCGAGGAGTAGCCGGAGCGCCGGTGTTTCCAATTAACGCCAGAGAAAGGGGGA